GGTTAGTGCAGAATCTCCTGAACAGAACTAGCATCGTCTCAGTTCTCCATGCTTCAGTAAAAACTGTTCAGAGATTTTCTTCAAGGTGCTCTGAGGACAACCGACTGATAATCAGAAAAGGAAGTAAAGTGGGGTGATAATGAGAAAGATGATAGGGATGTGTAAAGAATCCATTTAGGGGTAGGAGTCTCCAGGACTCTGCTCCCCAGATTCTGGTCTGTAGACTGTGTTCCTGGCAAGCAATTCATGGGGCACTCACCAGGAAACAAGTCCCATGTGTTGCACAAGCAGTGTGCCTGTTTCACTCCATGTGCAGCAGCGCTGCTGCACCTGACACAGAAGAAGGTTGCTGACTGTGCAACTATGTTTCACAAGCATTTTCAGACTTCCTCTTGGCTCGGCTTGGCTCAGCTCTCTATCTAAGACTGGGCCAAGCATAAGAGGAATTCTGCCAATGCTAGGAGGACAGATTCCAGTAGATTTTGTTCCAACCCTAGAGGGTGATAACCAGAGAGGAAATATTTTCATTGGTGACTCTCTGTTTCTGGAATGCTCTTCCCAGCAAGGTTCTACCACTGCCAGCATTATTATCCTTTTGTTGCCATTTGTAAGAGATTCTTATTTTTCCAGGCTTTTAAATGTATGTTAACAAAAATTTTAACCATGTTTATTTTATGTATTATGTTGTTTTATGTGAATTTAATTGAAGGCATTATCTAATTCTGTAGAATAAAGAACATTTTATAAGCCGTTTAAAATGATATTACAAACTGATGTTTACACTTGAAATTTTGTATATTTGCAAAATGTGAATTAACAAAAAGTATCTGTGTTTTAAGATCTCATTACCTGTATTAGTCTGTCCTGTGCCTTCTCTAGTACTGCTATATTTTTAGAAGATGGAAATTAGTACAGTACATAATACTGTAATTAGGGTATCTCATAAGTGGCATAACTTATTTAGTTTTTTAACTACTTTCTAATAAGGACTGCATAAAATACATGCATTTTGCCTTTTACCTAATGCAGAGCTTAGGATGATAAGCCTTTGGATTTGGAGATTCTTTTTAAACAACTATTGTAAGGCTACACTGTGAGGTAAGGAAGCTAATTTTAGTTATTTGTGTTAATTCCACAATTTTACAGTAAGTTCCTCAGAACACTTGGAAGAAATGTCAGGGACCTAGTATTTATCTTGCTGATTCTTCTAAATGTTCACCTTTTCTAATCACTATTATACAATTCTTCAAATATAAACATCCTCCAAAAGGTTGGAGACAGAGAACCTCTAACTCACTGAAAAATTGATCAAAATAATGTATTTAAATTATAAACTAATTTGCATTTCTGTACAACTCTGCCAATTCTGTGACTGATACATTTGTATTAATATATTTTAATGTCTTCTGCACCTCTCTGGTCAATGTTTTGCTCTTTATGCTCTTAATTTGTTTTATTCCTGCCTATTCTGCTGATCTTCAAATTCTTTCTTGGCTTATTTTACAGGAACCCTAGCATTCAGTGTGCCATGATTTGCACTCTTTTCTGTTTAATTTAGAAACAGAAGATTGACCAGTTTCATGTAAGAAAACCTAATGCTGGTGTGCATTAGAAATGCTGATTAAATGTTAAAAGCTGCAGAAAAATGCTTTTCATTTCCTTGTAGAAATACTGCTTTCAAAATTTTAGATCAAAGACCCTTTCAGATCTATTCAGAACTAGCAAAACTTCTTGTAGTATACAGATTATGTCCTCTGTGGAGAACTACATTCCTTTATCTGCCCTGAATTGCCAACCAGTCAATTTCAGGGGATGATTGCAGGTTTTAGTATCCCCTTCTTGCTTTTCTCCACACCGTACGTAACTGTAAGCATACTTAACATGAATTCTATTATTCACCTTAAACAATTTCAATTGTAGCTGTTCCTCACAGAGAAGTTGCTCCAATCCTTCCATTATTTTAATTGCCCTTCTCTGAACTTTTTCCAACTCAATACTGTCCTTTTTCAGGTGCAATGACAAGACTACTATTCTAAGCACAGTTACACCAAAGATTTGTAAATCAGGAATACAATTTTGGCTATTTCATTTTCTATTTCTCCCCTCCATATATCGAACATGGAAGTTAGCCTTTTTCACAGCAGCTGCACACTGGGTCAGCATTTCACTGAGTTGTCCACAGCCCCTGCTGCCACCCAAAGATCACTCTTTTGATCAGCCACTGCTACTCAGATCCCATCAGCCTATAACTGAATGTGGATTTTTTGCCTCAACATGCATTACTTTATATTTGATTACACTGAACTACATTTGTCCTTTTGATGCCCATTGTCAGCTTGGAGATTCCTTTAGAGCCCCTTTTGACTTTTTGTTTTAACCATAGTTAAAATAGTTTGGTGTCATTAGTAATATGCCCCTCAAAATGTTTGTTTCTCTTACTGTCTGCTTGCATTGCCCCTTGTGCAAGCATGGGATTCCCTCCTTTTTTTCTGTAATTTGGGCAAGATTTCCATTTACTGAAGGAAGCCTTCTCTCTAACAGCTTCCTTAACTCTACCTGTTAACCATGCCGCTGATCTAACCCTAACCTTTCCTCACTTGTGGTATGTGCACTATATGTTCCTTTATTTTCTTGGTTTTGAATACTCTCCAAGCATTTTTGAAGGGATTTAATCCTCTTGATACCCCTCTTCAACTTTTTATTTGCAAGTTCCATCATTGTAGAGACATTCCTCTTTTGAAGTTAAATGTGCTTGTGTTTAGCCTCTTAGGAATCTTCCACCTAACTGTGTATTAAATCTGATAGACCTGTGGTTACTGCTTCCAAACAGTTCAACAATATTTACATCCCATACTATGTCCTGGATAGCCCCACATAGGCTTACGCCTAGGATCACCTCCACTTTGGTTGTTTCCATGTCCAGCACAGCCAGTTAGGACATCAAAAGATTTAACCTCTCTATCAGAACTGGAACATACATCTGTAGGGTCAATGTGTGGGTAGTTGAAGACACCCATTATTACAGCACAACCTTTGCCTGAGGCCTCCCCTTCCTCCATCTCAAGATAGTGTTCTCCTCTGGAGGTCTGAAGGACAATAGCATATTCCTGTAATTAAATTAGATTGGAGCCAGGTATTACCACCTACAGTGCTTTTGTTAAGAAGTCTGCATGCTTTAGCTTATTAAGTCTGCAAGACTCTAGGGCCCCTTCAATATGCCTTGTCCATCCTATAGAGTTTATATCCTAAGATGACCCTATCCCATTTGTTCTCTCTATCCACCAGGTTTCCTTCACATTTACTATATATAGCATGTCCTTTAAAACCAGGTGCTCCAGCTCTTGTGTTTTGGTTCAGAGGTTTCTAGCATTTGCACAGAAGTACCAAAACACTGAACTGCTGGTTTGCCCTAGCTTCCAATGATTAGGAATGCATGCTAATTGTTAAATCCCCTGCCCTGATCCCAGAGTGGAGATGTTATAAAGGAATGCAAAATCTAATGTGACATTATTAGACAACAGAAGGCTCTGGACTAGAGTGAGGAAAGAAGCACTAGGTGTAAGACAGTATTTGTTTCAGCAAGGAATGGACATACAAACATATAGGTTTGCTATCTGACTGGCTTGAGCAGTTTTTATATGAAATGTCATTTTTCAAGACACAGCAGGCAACTTGGCTGCATTATTTCAAGTAACTTTTATGCTAAGGGAGTAAGAAGACTTTGACTAATATTGCATGTTTGACTCAACTACAAACATCAAAGAGACAGTGAATGGACATCAAAAGACTTATGTTTATGTTCCCTTTTCTATACTATTATAAGAATAGCACACAGATAAAGATAAATGAAGCCAAGATTTACTCCACTGTATACAAAACATATGATCCAGAGTCTCCACTATAGCCCTATTTGGGTGTGCAACTTATTGGGTAAAGTGAGTACATGAGCTGTGCCATGCTGTATAGCCTCATACCTGCTGTCACATGCATAATGTGATTTCACCTTGGCCATCCCACAGTGTGAACATCTGCAGAGAGGGGGTCTCTGTTCCACATGAGGTGGAACCTCCTATAGTATTGTGTTCCAGATCACATGGAGGTGTCAGAATGAACAGCTGTGCACAGAGACTACCCCTCTGCAGCTGTTCACACTCAATGTATAGATGCTAAGCGGGGAGGGCTAGCATCCCCAGATAGCCATTATGCTGATCCTATATGATATGATCATCTACACAGTAAGCGGAGCTCCCAAATGGAACAAACAGTTTACATAATTTGTTTTAAAGTGGCAATTCCTCATCTTGAATAAGAAGTTCAAAAGAAACTTTTTCAGTGACTTTAGGGACTTTGTTAAGAGGAAATGTTTACTGAAATTAAACAGTACACAAGGAGCTTACCATGCAGCTGTTTCAATGGTCTGGTTCAGATATAAATTGGGAGCCAGTGTGATGTAATGGTTAAAAGCATGGGACTGGAACACACATGATCTGGGTCCTAGTCCCCACTAAGACATGAAGCTCACTAGGGGACTTTGGGCCAGTCACAGATTCTCAGCCCAACCTACTGGGCAGGGTTGTTGTGGGAATAAGATTGAGAACAGGAAGAGAATGATGTAAACTACTTCAAGTTCTTTAAGAGAAAAAAGACTGGATGTAAATCTAATAATCATTAACATCTAAAGTAACAGTTTGTCAGGATACAATGCTTTTGAAGACCTTCCTCAATTTGCCTCAGTTAGGAAGAACAAGGTAGTTATACATGAAAAAGGGAAGATGTGCACACATTACAAACAAAGCCCAAAAAACAAAACCATAGTTTGCTATTAGGCCTGAATCATACCATATTGTTAGCAATTAACTTCAATTTTTATTTATATAGACAGCTTTAACTATTCTGCAGTATACAAATGAAATTAATATAATTTAACATAATTTTAGCATGAGTATTGAGATCTGGCCCAAACAATAATCTTTCATACAACTTAAAAGTATTTTATTTACCTTGTGTCTGCACTTAAGTACAACTCCATAGGCTCCTAGACCACCATCACAAAGGGAAAAAAAATTAACTACCAGGAAAACAAATTTCAGAATGTATATACCTGTTATATGAATCATTATTTAGGACAAATGTTATGAACATTAACTATTCCTTAAGAACTGAAAATGTCTGCATTTTACTTTTTTCACACAAAATATAAAAAGGACTAATATACATGCATAGGCAAACAAATGTACTTTTGGTTTCAGATGATGTAAGCAAAACTCTAAAATTAATCACCTTTCCAAGAAAATAACTATTTTTTAATGCTTACAGCATAAAACTATGCAGGTGATACAGCAAACTGTGCAACAGTGGGCAGTCAGCAATGCTGTCACAGTGCTAGCCACTGTTACTGCTGTGTGTTTTTTTAAATATTGTGATTGTTTGTTCATGCTGTATAGCATTCTAAGCCATCTTGCAAGACAGTGCAGGGCCTAGTCTCTTATGAAACAGAATGAGTTCCCTATTCAGGCAGTATATCAGGTGACTGGCAGACTGCACCATCTGACCACAAAGAGGTCCCCTGAAGACACAGTCTCTACCACCCCACCAACCCTAGTCCAGCAGTGACTGCCTCAGCATGACAGGAGGAAGCAAGCGAAGTTCCTCAGAGAAAGAGAAAAAAAAAGCTCATTGCCATCTCCCACATAAGTTCTCTACCAAAAGGAAAGTCCACCTGCTCAATCTCTCGTCTTGAGGGTTTTCTAGAGAGCCCCATCAGCTGAGATGCCTCTGTGAAGAGGCTGCCTGGCTGATCTCTCATTCAGAAAAACCCTCAAAATGAGAGATCAAGGAGCAAAGCCAAAATGCTGCACCCTGAGGAGTCCTTTTCAAAATGCAAATTCAAATTCAAATCTCACAAATTCAAAATTGTGAGATTGTCCTGGAATTTGCATTTTCCTACGCCACTGCTAGAGCAATGCATTCTGAAGTTGCTTAATTCTTTATCATAACAGTAAAAATAATGGGTAAAATCTGAAATTCACCACTACAGCTATACCATTATATAATATTACACTAGTGTTATGCTAATACATAAGACTTACTGATTATAGGCAAACATTTTCTAAGAGACTTGAAGACTATATTGTGGAGCCAATACTGCCTACAGCAGACATTCATTTATTTTGTCCCACTATACTTTTTGGTCAAACAGATTTTGTATTTTTTGTAGTGCTTCAAAAAAAAAAAAAAAAAAAGTTCTACCAGACACCATAGTAGGAGAACAATGTGTGTATACCATGTGCATCAACAACTCTTTGAAAAATTCTCCATCTCCAGCCAGATCTTACTCTTTCTCAGGAAGAGATCCTGAACAACTTCCTACAGATGCTGCCTCACTAACTCCCCTCACCCTTATTATGCCCTTCTTTTTCATTCATGCATTCCCTAATTAAATTCAGTAAAGATTAAGTGCTTACCTTCACCTACAACCCCAAGGATCTCAAATTTATTCATCACATTACCAATGTTAGGAATCTTCATGAAGACAAATTCCTCATGGGACAACAATCACACAACATGGCATGGAGAGGATTTGAAGGTGTTGCAGCGGACAGAAGATAAGGTTTTTGAGAAAAGGAAACTGCATTGGTTGACTGTACTCATATATTCTTGCACTAACTTTGTTAGAGGTTCCTGCAAAGAAAGAAAATACATATTTGACATTAGTTATGCTTGTTTCACCACATTAAGATACAAACAATGACTCAATAACAATATTTTTAATTGCTTAATTATATTTTATTCCCCAAATTATGTAATCAAGTCCATCAACACGAATTATGAGAAAAATAGATCCCCATACAATATATGATAGCAATAAAGCTTCAACCTTGTTTGCACTGAGGTTATACAAAGGACAAAACATAAACACAACATGCTTTTATTAATGAGAGTAGTTGATGGCCAAAACCCTCTTTTAATATTGACTATATTATGCTCCTCACACTGCACTGCTGGCCACCTTGTGTTCTGGTGGCAGCTTGTCAGAGAGCAAGCAGAGCCACTTTTGGTAACAAAGTCTGAAGCACCATGACATGAACAAACTTGTAAGCCTGACAGCTCAGGTCAAGATCAAGTATTTCTATATTAAAACACAGTTCTATTAAAACAACAAGAAAATACCTTTTAGCAGTTTATTTTATTATTGAAAAGCACAAATTTAGGTATGAATAACACACTAAAGTCTACACAAAAGCTTACCATACAGAACAGCCTTCCAATATTTTTTCTCAAATTGTTAACATGGTTTCAATGGAAGAAATAACCATAAAAATTAAAGTAGAAGAATTAATAGCATCACAAAAGCACACTTTCAGCAAAAAAACCTAAATTTTAAAAAGGACTTTGAAACCTGCATGAAAAGCAAAGCAAGAAATCAACTTCATTAACTGGAAATTATTTTTTCACATCTTAGTATGCTGGGAACAAAGTTGCTCATGAGAAACATGACTTCAGGATGGGAATGAATCTAAATCACTAAATAAGCACATGGCTATAAATAATGACTCTGTTGCGAGTCAGTCATTGCACCCCTACAAATGCGACACGGCATATTTTTAGTATTCCCTACTGTAAGGATGCTGGCTGCAAATTATTCATGCATAAACAGGCCCGTTAAAAATTACTCCTGAACTTCACCTTGAACCTGGACTGAGCCTGTTCCTAGAGATCAGATCCCTGTAGTCATGTTACAAGATGGGGAATACGTGGCTCAATAATGCTGCAAGTAAGAAGGATCTTGGAACTGTTGTAGATCACAAACTGAATATGAATCAACAATGTGACGTGGTGCAGAAAGGACAAATACTATTTTAGGCTGCATTAACAGAAGTATCACTTCCAAATAGTTAGCACTATTCAGACTTCATCTGAAGTACTGTGTCTAGTTCTGGGCACCACAGTTTAAGAAAGATGCAGACGAGCTAGAAGAGGTTCAAGGGAGGACAACAAGGATGATCTGGGAACTGGAAACAAAGCCCCATGAGAAGAGATGGAAAGAACCGGGCATGTTTAGCGTTGAGAAGATTGAGGGGAGATATGATAGCACTCTACAAGTACTTGAAAGTCTGTCACAAAGAGGAAGGACAGGATCTCTTCTTGATCATCTCTGAGTGTAGGACACTCAGAATAATGGGCTGAAGTTATGGGTATCTAGATTCCAGCTAGATATCAGGAAAAATGTCCTGACTCTTAGAGCAGTACAACAATGGAACCAAGTACCTAGGGAGGTTGTGGGCTGTTCCACACTAGAGGCATTCAAGATACAACTGGATACAATCATCTGAGAGGGATGGTTTAACTTAGTGTCCTGCACTGAGCAGGGGTTTAGACCTCATGGCCTTCTGGCCCCTTCCAACTCTACTATTCTATGATCTATGAATGCCTTAGATAAATCTTGTTGCATTATCCTGTTTATAACATGCAGTTGTTCTAGAAAACTGTTCAGAAATTTCAGGTCCAGAGTGCTGCAACCAGACTGTTAACTGGACATGGCTACAGGAAGCACAATGTTTCCATGCCTACCACTCTATTTCTGAGCAAAATTTAAAGTACTTGCTATGATGTGTAAAGCTGTATATAGCCAGCTGATATACCACCTTTTAGTATATGAAGCTGCTGGGTCTTAAGAATTTTGGGAAAGGTCCTTCTTTCATGATTGCCACCTTCAAAAGTGGGTACTTCCAGACCAGTAGAGGTCCCAAGGAAGGCCTTGTTTGCTCCCTCTCTGTAGTGCTCTTGCCAGTGGGAAAAGACCTTTTTATTCAAGCAGGCCTTTGGCATGTAAGCAGCTGTGTTTAGCTGGATGCAGTATTTATTCTGTTGCATTTTAATGTATTTGTTTTTGTTATTGTTTTAGTCAAGTTCATTTGTGAGTGTATATTGCCTTTAGTACTGTTTTGCTTGGTAGAAATATGGAGTACAAATCAAATAAATAGAGAAAAAATGATGCAATGGAATCAGTATAGGTATATATACCCCTTTCTCAAAATACCTTAAAACTGTCCATAAAGAAAAGACAAGGTATTCAGGATGTGGTAGCATAAGCAAAATTATTCTCAGTGGATATACCCTGCTTAAATTATTTTGGATGCTATCTCCAAAATGAAAACCAAGTAGAACTATTAGCTCCATAACGAACATTTTAAATCCAAAGAAACCAAGCAGTGTAGGCACAATAACATTGCACAAACTAGTACCAAAGATGGTTACACCTGCAAACAGCAAGAATTATTTCCTGCAATCTTCTCTGCAGGGTAGTATAAAGAAGCTATTCAAACATCTGCATGAGAACTGTCATGGTTGTTGAGATGGGAGGGAAGAATCTGTGTATTCTTATGGGATTTTAATACTTGCTGTTTTGTGATGAAGTAAAAAAAATGAACGGATGAATGCAAGTTGAGAAGCAGCATATGGTTTGATGTTCAATCTGCATTTCACCCTACCAAAATAATGATATTGCAAGGAAAAACTGCTTTACATTCATGAAACCAAATAAAAATGTGATGCTATAGTCTTTTCAAAGGAGTGAAAACATGCTGGAAATTACTGTCAGAAGAAAGGCTTTTAATTACATTACCTATGCACATAAACAAACTATCCAAATCTCAAAAATGTTTGGTAATTGGAAGCTTAATAAAACCATGTCTGCTGCAAGCAGAAAAGTTAGTAAGTAGCAAAAACAATTTCTATAGCAAGTGGAAGGTATCAACCAGCTGTTTAAAAACTAGCCCCCTCACCTGACTGGTTTACAGTAGGGGAAATTTTATATTACTTTATGGAAGGAAAATTTAACAAGCTTAAGAAACCAGCTGGATAGGATGAAGGGTACTGAGCATGCTCATGCGAGCCTGTTGAAATGTCTGTTCTTTGTTGTCCCTGTGACTCCTTTCCCTCTTTCCTGCAAAAAAACCCCCAAAAAATACCCTTTTCCCCCCTCACAGACATCAATACAACTGCATTGTGTGCAGCATTCTAAGCATTGTTGGTGTGGCATCACTGGCCACCCAAATAAGCCCTGAATCCTTCTCTGATCAATTTCTGGGTTCTAGCAGGCAACAGACCTGTTTCTTTAAATGGTGGTTGTGTGTGACTAAGTGAGCAAAAATATGTGTTACCATCATGCTGCTGCCGCATCCCTGCTACCATTTCCAGCAATTCCCAGGGAACACATTGGTGTTGCGCTGCTATGCCACCTTTGTTTCTACACATGTTGATGTATCTGCTACTGGGATTAGAACTGGTATACCACAGTTCATTCTGATATAAAAGCTGCTAGTGTACAGGAATATTGAACCTATCATAGCATTGCCTGCTGGATAAATGCAGGAAAAGGTATCCAAAAATTATGCATTCAGCATTCCAGATTCACATACTTGCTGTTGGCTAATTTGGTTCCCTATGGATACTAGAATTAAAAGGAAGCATGGAACTTAAAAGAGGCTGTAAGACACAAATTGGTTGCAATATACATTGCAGTGTTGGAGAATGCTTTCTGTCGAAGTGCAAAGATCGAGTCTTGAACAAATACTACAGTCTTGAACAAATAATTCCTTTAATTAAGCTTTTGCTTAAATGCGAAATTGATTTTAACTTTGCGTACTAAATACAGTAAGCATGTCTGTACATCATGCTAACCTACTCTGGCAATAATCTATAGGGGGTTGGCTGTTGTCCAAACAACATGGTGGACTCAACAGATGAATGGCTTCACCATGGATCATTTTTCTCGTATACATATAACTGTACAGATCCTTGCCAAAAACACCTCTTGTCTTGCTAAAGGCCTCTTTTCAAGGGGATGCCTTACCCCAAAAATTGGGTGAGACACACTTTTGCACTTTTTCAAGCAATTAGTGTCTTGAGGAAAAATACAAAATGTACAGGACTGTAAAGGCAACACAGAAAAAGATCAGGAACTCTTCTGACAGCTTCTCTGATGTGCAATTTGGGTGCTTTGAAAGGGGTATCAGTGGTTGATACCCTGAGGTATCTTAAAAAAAAAAAAAAAAAAAAGATAAAACGCTCTGGTTTTATTGTCCAGGGGAAAACTAAAACAAAAACTAACACTAACCTACATATGTGGTGGTGGGAAGGAAATATTGTTTGCTGTAACATTGTCATTACAAATAAAAATATCAAAAGTAAACATTTATGAGAAAACTCACTTGAAATCATCTGAATAAAGTATATTTTAAATACAATACACAAGCAATGATAATATTTTGAGCAAACCAAGTTGCATATAATTTAGGTTCCTATTTTATGTCTGATCAAAAAAAAAACAAACCCAAAACGCTTCAGTAGGTAGTCCATGAAACATCTGATTCATTCTGGAAGCAGGAATTGCTAGAGGCAGAGAAAGACTCCTGTCTCTGAGGAATTGGTTTGGGTAGGGTTTAAGGAAGTATGGTCTAAGGAAAACCTACTGAAAGTTTATTTAACTGCTATAAACTCTTACTTATTACGGATGATACCCAAGAATATTTTATTTAAGAACCTTTAAGCAATCTCTCCTCTCCGTGGGATAACTCACGTTTTGTTCTGTTTTATAAGTGGTTTATCTGACAAGCTGATTTCACAACTATATTCATTCACCTGCTACAATATCTAGCCAAACCAAGCACAGAAATACT